GAGGGGACGGGGTGCACGGTCCTTGTGGTCGTGCTAGGCTCGAAGAGTGGTTCCATGCAGTCAGTGTGGAGCGGACTACGGTCCAGCCACCGCCTTGTGTGCATTTGATTCCCCAACTACAGCGTGCTTGTGTTTGTCTGTGAAGGAGTGTGGGCCGGCTCCGTTGATGAAACGTGGCTCCCATCCGCATGCCTCCCGGTCTTATTCCTTCGAGTTTACACTGGATATGGTGTGTGTGGATGGAGCTGTGGGTGGTGCAGCGCAAGCCATCCATGGTCCCTCTGTAAGCGCAGGCGTCCTGTGGCTGACCACAGTGACAGGCAAATCCGAAACCGGATGCCGCCAACCATATATATATAAATATATATATATATATATATAAATATATATATATATAACGTTCGCATCATTCGGTTCCGGATTTCCCTGTCACTGTAGCTTCCATAGGACAGCCACAGGAAGCCTGCGCCTACAGAGGGACCATGGGTGGCTTGCGCTGCACCATCCAAAGCTCCATCCACATACCCCATATCTAGTGTTAACCCAAGGGAATAATACTTGGAGGCATGTGGAGGGGAGCTGCGTTTCATCGGCAGAGCCAGCCTACACTACTTCAACATGCACAGCAGCAGCATTCCTGTTCATCCAATTCGGTCTTCATCGGTAACAGACGTACACAAGGCGATGGCTGGGTCGTAGTCTGCTCCACACTGGATGGAACCACTCTCTGAGCTTAGCACGGTCACGAAGACCTACACCCCCTCCCCCTACAACGTTTCCCTCTACTGGTGTCAGTATACAACCTGGTGTAGGGTGTTAGTCAGTAGGCATTCACAGTGCAGCCACTTCGGGAGATATCAATCATCGGCTGACACCAGAAATGCAAGAAACTCGACATGCAGGCATACGCATATCCAGCTCCAGCTATGATGTAACACACGTATCACATCGATGGCATTAATCGCTTCGGTTAGTTGATTGAATCGGAATCACCGTACTTACGAAGAGCTGCGTTGATGATGGTCACTTACTTAGCTTACCCCTCTTCACTTGGGTGTCGACTCCAGGTGGCCACCCTTATGGCTTGCGAGGCTCGGCTAGGGCATATGTGACGGTATGTGTTGCATCATCATGCACTCGACGTCGATGCGCTAAACTGCATCGGTGCATGTCACCTATCCCGCCGACGTTTTTCTTCCACATACAATAGGGTTTTCCACCGCACCTGAGCAACCGCCCTCTTGAAAAGCTCACGACATTATCGGTAACTAGCTGCTTTTGCTTCCTTGAAATCAGCATTAGTTCGTAATCAACTCACCTTGATCAGTTCCTGCCAACTTCGGTTTTCCGACGTTCCGCTTCCCTGCATCCATATAGCAGCTGTTTCGGTACCCTTATCGAGTTCATGCGGCGAACATGTCCGAGCCACCTCAACTGCCTCAGCAAAACTATGCAACACACTTCATACACGCCACTACGGCGGAGCATCTCCGTGTCTGCGACTCGGTCACCTCAGCCGATGCGCAGAATCGGATGCAGGCATCGTTATTGAAATTGCTCGCAATACCGGACATCCTTACGGTACATCATCCAGGTTTCGTTGCCGTATGGAAGAATGGACAGCACCATCGATCAGTACACATTCATCCCAACCATAAACCAATGATTCTTCTATACACGATAGTCTAGTTTGCCAAATTCAGTCGCGCTTTAGATACCGGATGCGCATTTCGCTTGTCATTTGCCGATCGGTCGATACTACACTCGCAACGTAGCCAAATCCGTTGCTGTTTCTCAAAAAGCCATCAGCATACTGGATTTGGGGCACGCCCACAGACTCCATTCCTAATGAAAGCTGGAAAAAACGCATAGTTCTGCTGATGTTTATGGTGAATCAGAAACTGGACGCGGTCGAAGCGAGAACCAACGTAATGTGCTGCAACTCATCCGCGCTGTGTGCAAACAACGCACTGTCGTAGGCAAACAGCAACACACGGATGGTTGTTTCACACACTCGGGTTCTCGCCTCAAAACGACGGATAATCAGCAACCAACCATCAATACGGTGCTCCGCGTAGACATCGTAATCACGAGCAGCACCTAAGGCACAGCACATCATTGCATTTAGATAGATGTTAAACCGGGTGGGGGCTAAGACATTGCGTTGTTTCACACCAAGACACTAGTAAAGTCATCCGAGGTTTGTTCACTCAGATCACTCTTGCCCGCATACCATTTTGTATGCATTCAATTAAACGTACAAACTCGGACAACCAAACATACCTCACACCGGAGACAGTGCCTCGAGGTTCACCGTTTCAATTGCTTTGGTGAAATGAGCAAACAACGAAAACAATGTGCGGTGTCACTCTCTGCATTTCTCCTGCACCTGACGAGCCTCGAACAGCATATCTATGGGGCTGCGGCCCGAACGCAATCCACGTTGATCTTCCACCACGTTCAGTTACACAACCTGACTGACGAGGCGGTTGAGCAGAATTCGGGCCATCACTTTCCTCACACAACAAGAAGTTGATACTACGATACTTCTTGCGACTTTGCTTGCTCCCTTTACTCATGTACGGTGAAGTTACAGAACATCCTTCAGATCAGCCGGCACTTTCGCTTTAATCTATGCGCATTACGCCATATGGTGTAGCGCATTCATCAATGCGCGTCCGCCGTGTTTTAACCCTACAGGCGTGATTTCCTCGGCACCGTCGCACTTGCCGTTTCGCAGCTGAGCAAGTGCTCTCTGTGTCTCATCCACTGTCGTTATATCGGCAGGACATGTCTTCATCACTTGTTATTGCAGCCCGTGCAACAGTCCAGTCAATCTCTGAACGATTGTTCAAGCGACAATCGAAATGCGTTCGCTAGATCTGCACTATGTCTGCAGTCTATTTATAGAGAGAGTCTGAACTACCATCGATCAGCGTCCACAGCAGCCGCAACCTTGGTCCGTATACCGCCTTCAAGGAGTCAACAAAGCCATGTTTTTGCTACGTTCGGCGTAGCATTCCATCTGCTTCGGTTACTCCGTCCATCATGCATTTTTAATGGGACGGAGCTCACGAGCCAGTCGCCGTCAAACTTTGCGAAACTGACTCTTCTTCCCCAAGTCACTGTGGTCTGGCACCTATGCAACAAATATTGCATTCTTCTCAGACACCAGTGCGCCAATCATCCCGTTGTTGTCATCAAACCAATCGGACCGCTTGCATTTTGCGCACCCGATCGTTTCTTCGACAGCAGCCATCACCTGTTGACGGACATGGTGCCACAAGGCGCCCACTCTGGCTATGTATTCGACATCAAAAAGCCGGGTAGCCATCGCCTTCTCCATTTCCATCCTTTCTCCATGCCATCGAGGGAAAGAACATTAACTTTCCCTCGGTTCACGGCAGTTAAGTGGTACACACATTCCCAAAAATACATGTACAATTTGGTCCGTACCAACATGTGCTCAGACCTACACTCAGCTCCACGCAGTACAAGTGCCATGCTGGCTTACGATGACATAGTCGAGCAGGTGGGCGTGACCACTCCGTGGATGTCAGTCGCACCCAGTGCTAACTGTGTGTTCGTGATCATCGGGCTCTTATTGGCGCACATTGGGAGCAACCGGTCACTGTTCCCATGAGTTGTGCCAATACCATACGGACCGATTACGTCTGTCATTGCGGTAACATGTTTAACCCGTGCATTGAAATCACGCAGTAACAATAGCCGGTCGCCCATCGGCACAGACCGCATTTCGGAGGATAACTGAGTGCAAGACTGATCCATCGTGTTATCAGGATAACACAAACAAAAGTGTCAAATTCTACTATTCCAAGTCGCAGACGAAAAGTCATTAATCGTGGGCTGATGCCAGTCGGCTCCGCCATAAGCTGGTAATTTTGGCCGTCGTATACTGCTATTCCGTCCCAATGTTCACGTGATGCCGTGATGGCCTTCGCATCGCGGTATAACGTGTAACTGGCATCCGCCTCACGCAGCTTCCCTTGGCCATCGAGCTGAGTCTCGCTGAGTACGGTAATGACGATCCTGTAGCGCGCGAGTTCAATCGCGACCAGTGCAGCGCGTCGCTCGGGGCGCTCTGCAGTATGCAAGTCGCATATTGTGCGCACGTTCCAGCACCCGATGTTGAGTGCTTTGCACGGCGGCATACGATTGCGTTGGCGGGCAATTGCTAGCGCGGTTACCTGGATTAGAAGCATTAGTGAGTTGGGTTAAACGGGGACCATAGGAGTCTGTGCATGTGAAGAAGAATTGACAGGGCAGCGGTAGCATGTTTCGTTCATCCCTCCCCCCGCTGTATACAGCAGATAAGCTGACCCTTTTCCCTCCCCTGACAGTGCGCGACGGCAGATGCAGCATATTAGTTGTATTGACGTAATTCATGTTTTAAGCCAGGGCGTCCACACCTAACAGGAGAAAGACCGGAGTCCTCAGCCAACTTGTCGATACACTGTACTCCCGAATCTCAGCGGCGGGCCATGCGCCTTGAGTCAGTAAACAGACACGGTATTGTGTCCGGACAAGAAGAATTGTGTAACCTAACTCCAACCCAGCGGTCGCCACGAGAAGCCGCCCAGGACATGGGCAGTGGGTTAACCATTCATTAGAATCTGGCCAGCACAATCCTCAGCGCCCCATGTACCATCCCTTACAAATATATATATATATATATCAACTTTAAGTTAGCTTTTAAGCTGTCTATTCTTCATATCTTTAAAAGCTATCTTTATTGACGCTTCGTTACATTTCAATCTAGTAAGTTTGTATCCTTCCACTGAGTCGCATTCCTTCGACTTGAGGATGCCCATTTCTGCTCTCTGTTCACGTAAATTAATTCGTGCTAGCTTGCCATCACTGAGATTAGATTTTACTATTTTCACTCAAGCCCTCTTCCGGAAATCGCGATGCGTTTCTTTTTTTGGTAAACTGATGATGTTCATGCTACGCAGTTGTTGCATTTTTTTCATTGGTTGCAGGGAGCCATTAATTGTCTTCAGCGGTGGTTGTAATTCTTCACAACTAGAGCCTCCTTCAGCTAACTTACGCCCCTCGGACTCGCCCGATTTACCGACTTCGGACTCTCAACTCCTGCATTCTGGCTGCCGCAATCTCACGATTAAGCGCGGCAAGCGTTCCGTCGTTTTGCAGATGGATTACCAATTACTGCAGTTCGTCTCCCTTTGCTCCTCACCGTCCGTCAGTGGTAGGTTTTTCTTAGTTATTTTGCATTTCCCCTGTATAACTTGGAGCTCCGGTTATCACCAGATCACTTACATTTGTCAGCGATCCCTTACCCGAACTCTTCATGAAACCGTCACGTTTGACCTCTCACATTATAGCGTCGTATGTCCTTCAAATATATTAACAAGCCCACATGTGTCAGAGCTTGTAAATTTTCGATAAAAACATGCGACTATAAGATTATAAACGTCTACACTCTAGGGTGGGTCCAATCTCCGATTTCTTTGATACTAAGCACCGCATCATTCCATCGGCTCATCTTTCCACACCCATTCGTCCATCAATTAACGGCACGCTAAGATCATGGGTGCTTGTCGTGTTTCGACCCATGAACATTTTGCTCCAAACAAATTCGGAAACACTGTTTGAAGAGCACTGTGCAAACAAATTTGACTTTGTCAATTTTCACATTATCCAAAAAGGTTTCGGTCTCCAGATACAGTAGAATCTCGGGCATACGGATTTCTCGTGCTGTTTCCCGGGTCCGGTGTTTGCGCTCATTTATATAACTGCGTAATCTACCATCAATCTTCATCTTTTCGGTAAGCTTTTGAGTTATATCGCGACGCGTCAATTTGGGTGTCTGCTGCTGATCACATTTTCATACGCGTTCCAGTTTTTTGTGTCATCGATTAGCTATTGCTCGTATTCTTATAATACTGTCTCTTTGTGAACTCCTACTGTAGTGTTTGTATCGTGGTTGAATAACTGGATGTAATATTTCCCATGTATTTTCGCTTTCTCTCCATTGGTCATGGAGTCGGCAGAAATTCTTTTATTTTTGTGATCATTGCTGCGGGGTTGTAGTAGAATAAGGTATTCCTTGTGACAGATGCCTACTATTGCACCACAATGTTTGTTCAAGGTTAGTTGAGGAGTCGATTGATGTTTGTTCACTTTACCCCAACCTGAAGTGCATTTGTTTCCATTGTATGTATCTGGCGGACATCTGTTGGCGTTTTCTGCGCGGAAAACATCTGGTTCAGTCACTTCATATCACTGAAGGGCAGACTATATCTAACGAGGACCACTTGCATAGGCTGAAGCGCGCAGCAGATGATCTGGGAACAGAAACTCTCACTGATGCACTGCGAACAAACTTTAATGAGTTACACTCACATTTCGTATGGAATGTGGGTAATGCTGTAATTTCTATGAGCAGCCACAGGAACGTGTTTATTCCCAACCGGGAAGAACCGGTAATACGGAAGGCTAGAGCCAGGTGTGATTTGCATTTGAGACGTGTTCACGATGTAATCCGTATTGTTGGTATATTGTTTTTGATTGGCATCAAAAGGATTCGTCGAGTTGGCAGTTGCAAAGACCTAAACGTTTTGCACCAAAAGGGTCTGAGCAGGTCAAGCAAATGGTTGATATCAGGCGGCTCCGGATACGCTCGCATCAAGGGCCGAAAACATCTCATTAGTACCGTTTGACAAAGTTAACATCGGATCTATCGTGCCGCTTAGCGGAGACTTAATTCAGAAACATCTTGTTGCGGACCTCTTTACGGAAAATGTTGGGTGGATATCATGGGGTTGATTTTCTCTAGGCGGAACACGACTACAGCACTGCTCAAACTTCCGGCAGGCTACCGAAATAGTACCTCCTTTGCAAAATTCGAATAATATGTCGATGAAGTACATGGCCCCAAATTCTCTGCTGGCGGGAATTCAGGTTGTGTAAGCGATCGAGCATAGCTGCTGTCACCAATTCAGTGGCAACAGAAATGCGGTCACAAGATACCCGGCTTAGGGGAATACTCTCCGAGGCCGTTTCCAGGAGTATAAAGTCGTCTCACTGAATTGTAACTTAGAGGTCAAAATTACTCACCGGAGTGTGAAAAAACAACTTGAGACACGATTAACCAAACTAGCCATAGTAGGTGACGCAAATGTCAACTTCTCCTGCAGCGGTATCATCACCAGTACATCTATCAGTACAACCCAAGTTGATACCCCAGTTACCTCTATTACAAGAAGGACAAAATGTAACTGTCCCTCGGGTTTTGCGCTCAAGGGAAACTTTACAAGAACAGCCTAGGGCGGAAAGGAACTGCAGCAGTTATCGCTAAAGTTGTGGTACACGAATCTTTGCAGCTTGAGTAACAAGTGGGGGGGGGACTGGAGACGAATAGCAGTGGCGTCCATGTGGTTGCGATTACGGAGCTTCTTTCAAATGATTCAATTAATGGGTGTCCATTAACCGAATCCTCGGGATACAGAAAAGACCGTCCTGGGTGCCCAGGTGGAGGTGGGGTGCTTTTGCTTATTCGTTCTCACTATACTCGTTGGGAGCCGGCCCATAGCCGTGCAGATTACGAGTGTGCCTTGTAAGCCGTGGGCGCAAGTTCCAGCTTGCATACGGACCCGGTGACCCTCGCTGTATCCTTAGCCTACGTGCGACTGGTGATGGTATATATATATATATATATATATATATATATATATATATATATATATATATATATATATATATATATATATATATATATATAGGCTCCCGCCTAACAAGTCTCCCGTTATGTCGGTAAGCAGACAGGAACCCCGGCACTTCGACGTTTATGTTGCTGTCTTTGATTCTGCAGAAGGACTTAACCAAGAACGAAATCAACCTCTGCACTTGACTTCTATCATGGGCTACGAGGTCTCAGTGATACTTTTGAATAAATTTACACTAGTTCTGGAAAAAGATCCAGTTAAAACTTACCTATGCCTCTTTCGAGGGCTTCTACAATAGCACTTCTCAATAAGAGAATGAATCGTGTTCCAACTATGATCTGCACGATTCGTGAACCATTTGGCCCTGATTTCTAGCCTGGACTTCTGGTGATTAAGCTTGAATGCATGCTCCGCGCTTGATCTTATGTAACTAGTCCAAATAGATCAAAAGGTTTCATACTACTGAGGTCATTCATAATCTTGAACAGTTCTATCAGGTCGCGCCTCCATCTTCGTTGCTCCTGTGAAAATAATCCTAGTCTCCATAGGCGCTTATCATATGACCGTTCACCCTTGCCATCGCTCATCCTAGTCGCCAATTTTTAAACCTTAATTATACAGTCAAAGTTCTTCCGGTGATCCATCGCGACGAGACTGTGCCTTAAGGTGGTGCGATGACTTGCATACCTCTGTAACCCAACGAACTAAGCTGGGTGATACTTTCCAAGTGCCATCAGACCCATTAGCACCGGACAGATCAATGTTTAATAGTCAGACTAATCCACTTACACAATCCTGTTTGTAGGTTAGGTAGAGGCCGATGGCAATTTTCTGTTAAAACATAGTCATGGTAGATAACTGGTTTACTGATTGTAAGCTCACGGCTCGATAGACTTAGCGCGCGAACACCACACATTTTCTCCGACGTTGGGAGATCACCTTTCGCGGCTCAATAGTTTACTACCGCCGGTCTCAAGCCAGGCAACCCCTGGTAACATTGGTGCAAACCCGCCACATTTCACCTGCGACTTGCTGTGGTCGCAGGTGCGTAACGTACTACAGCTGAAATCACCATGCATATCTCTTTAACATTTCAATGGCTGTGTGTGAAAGCGCTCAAACGGATCCCAAGGTATCACTGCAACCACACTCCCTAGCTGCACTTGCTCTCCAAAGCTTCCTGGTCGCATTCCTCAAGCGAACGTCTATGAACCCCACTGCATTGTGGGTCAGGCTGTTGCGTCAAAGGTTAGGCGGAGCATCTCATACCGAACCCCTCTCTCGGGATGGGTAGCTGGTGAGTATCTACTGCACTCTCTACGCTGTCTTCTTGTTTTTCTCTTCCGTCAACTCTTTTTTCATGTTTATTGAGCAAGAGACTGCTGCTGACCTCGCAGCTGCTGCCATCGATACTTGTAACTCGCCCATCAAACCTAGAGTCTCATTCCATATTGGTTCTTTCAACGTCCGCATTCTAAACCAGCTAGGTCAACAGCCTGCGCTAGTTCTACTCTTCACTCTCTTAGTATTGATGTGTGCTGTGTCTCCGAAACACGCATACAAGATAACATCGTCTTGGGAAATCTTCGACCCCCTGGTTCTTAATTTGAGGACGATGACTACTCTCTTCGCATCCATAGTAATACTTAGTCAATAGCTCAAGGTGTTTACGGTGTTCGTATCGCCCTCAGCAAACATGCTCATAGCAGTCTACTCGACTACATGCCGGTGAACAGCCGCACGTGTGCGGTTCGAATTTAAACTGCTATTGGAATTAATAAGCAACGTCTGAAGCTAAGGTATCTTTCCATCGCCTTCGTTTATCCCCCTTCTGACTTCATTTCAATTGGTATCAGTACGATTTCTATCACCATCTTTCATCCCTTCGCATGGTGATTCTTGTCGGTAATGTGAATGCTCATGTGGGTCTCCTCAGAAAACAACCCATGGGAGGGCACTTCATACTCGATGCACGCCGAACAGACATTGGTGACCGATTCCTGCAACTGTGCACTGACTACAACCTTTTCCTTAGCAACACTGCTTTCCAGCACAAAATTTCCCACTGTGTCACCTGGCGCGCACCGAATTCCTTAGCAACCTGGACGCATATTTCCATCAGCTACAGGTGGCGCACATCAGTCCAAGACTGTCGGTCAGTTTGGAGCAAGTGGCTGGATTCCGACCATGCTCTCATGTGCGCACGCCTGGCTCTACTTTTTTCGTTTCAAAGAAGCACCTAATTTCTAACTTACCCATGAACTAGCATTCTGCAGTTTAACTATACCATGGCGAACTGCTCCACCGTTTGTCTTTGTGTGCAAATTGCTTCCTGTCTAACAAACGTATTTGGCTTCAGAATTGAAGACTAGTAGCTCATTTTGTTCACACGTCAGTTGAACTGTTCGCTGAGCTTGGCAATTTTCTTGCAAACCTTTCGTCACTGATGATCTCACCTCGATTGGTGACGAAACTTTTGCAACAAGGTTACCAAGCCCAGCGAATAGTTCAACGGCTTTGC